AATGGATACATAATATAGCATCACATAGATAGTACCTTATTTATATTCAACCCCCATCTACTCTTTAATTGCGGGATGTTCATTTTTGACATAAATCTGTGTGTCTGGCATCATTTTCTTGATTTTACTTCTTAGACAAAGAACCATTGACTCAAGTGGTATAAAAATGTCTAAGTTTTGTAATATATATAGAAATATTTCCCCAAAATACTTACTCCCAAATATGAGAAAATGAGCCAGCTTGCTGAGAATCAGAGGTATAAAGGGTGAGATGATATTTTCACCCATCGTATTGGCAAAGATTTAAAGGACTGGCAATACCCAGTGTCAATGAGGATAAGGGGCTGCAGGGATATGTGTTGTTTTATAGAGATGTTGGTAAGAAAGAAAATTGGCTATTTAGAAGTATACACACAAACAATGCAATGAATACATCCTTATAAATAAGTCCATCAGAGAAAGACAATTACCATATGATCTCTCTGATATGAGGAATTTGAGAGGCAGGGCAGGGAGTTGTGGGGTAGGGAAGGGAAAAATGAAACAAGATGGGATTGAGAGGGAGACAAACCATAAGAGACCCTTAATCTCATGAAACAAACTGAGGATTGCTGGGGGGTGGGGGGTAGGGAGAGGGTGGCTGGGTGATGGACATTGGGGAGGGTATGTGCTATGGTGAGTGCTGTGAAATGTGTAAGCCTGATGATTCATAGACCTGTTCCCCCGGGGGCAAATAATACATTATATGTTAATTAAAAAATTCAGTTAATACAGAAATATACAGAGTAGAAATGGAAAGTTTTCCTGTAGTCCCTCATCTCCACTACCAATCTGTTGGTACATTTCTGGAGGGCAGTTGAGCAATGAGTGTAAAAGTCTTACACATGCCTAGTCTTTGACCCTGAATTTCAACTTCTAGAAATAGATTTCTAAGCAAAAAGCAGTCTAAGTTTCCCAGAGATCTAGACAAGACTGTTCATCCCAATATTATTCATGAGAACGATAGTTAACATTTATCAGTAATTTACTATATGCCAGGAACTGGTCCAAAAACTGGATCCTTTACAACAACCCTATGGTAACGGTAGGTATTAATGGGTATTTCCACGCTACTGATGAGAAAGCTGAGGTACAGAGAGGCCACCAGTCTAGTAAATGCTCTAGAGATTTAAATCGAAGCAGTCTGACCCTGTGGTTCATACTCTATTGTCTGTATTGCTAAACTAGTGACAATATAAGAAAAAAATCTGTCTGATCAAAAGGGAATTTATTAAATAAATTATGATATATACTTACAATGGAATGCCTTCAGATTTCACAGTGTTGTAGATGGATACTCATGGACATAAAAGACAAAAAAAGAGAAGCCATAGGACTATGTATTTATAATTCCATTTAAAAAAATTTATGTGATTAGGAGAAATCATGTAAGTTTATCTGTACACAGAGAAAAGAAGTATGGAAAAAAATGACAAACACCAAAATGTTAACTGTGAGGTGTTTTTCCTAGGAGGCAGCTTTATAGGTGCCTTTCTTTTTCTCTCAGTACATTTCTATATTTGGCGAGCAAAACGACCCTTAATTGCTTTCATCATCCAAGAAACGCAGTAAAGCTATTTTTAAAGGGTTGTGGCAATGGCTCTGTCATCAGTGAATGTGAGTGCGCTGCTGGTTAATTTTTAAATAGAAAACATTGCTGCTTCATGCCACACCCAGGTGAAGGGCTCTGGGTGGCACGTGGACCCAGCACGCAGGCTTCCTGTTTCTCAGCTGCCCAGATGCAGAGTTTCCATGATTGTCCGAGATGGACGTCATCCTCTCTGGGCATCTAACCACAGTGGGGTCCGGCTGGATTTCTAGTTTCTGGCCTCAAGACATTCCCGCTGGCTGTTGCTTCATTGAGCACACCAAGTTCTTCTCTTACCCCCATAGTTCTGCCTTCTGGGGCACACAGACTACATGGAACCTCAGAGAACAAAGCCCTAGATAAACCACAAAGGAGATTTGGCCAAGCTGGTGGCTTTATGCCCTATCTATCTGTCTATCTGTCTCTGTCTTGGCTTTGTTCCCTGTAGATGCTAGAAAGATCTGAAATAATGTACATCTAATGAAGAGACAAAAATCAGTCTATATGAAGTACACACAGAAAATTTATGCAGCTGCATCAGCAAACATCGACTTGGCGACCGTTGGAAGCCAGGCACTAGCTGGGGTCACAGTCTGAAGGTGAAAAGACAGAGCGCCCGGGTGGCTCAGTCAGTTGGGTGTCTGCCTCTAGCTCAGGTCATGATCTCTGGGTCTTGGAATGGAGCCCCACATTGCATCAGGCTCCTTGCTCAGTGGGGAGTCCGCTTCTCCCTCCCACTCTCCCTCTGTGCTCTCTCTTTCTCGAAGAAATAGATAAAATCTTTAAAAAAATAAAAAATAAATAAAGGAGAAGAGACATTGAGTACTTCGGAGAGGAGGTGACATTTCATTTGGATTTCAGAAAAGGAGTAGGTGTTCGTCAGGTAGAAAAGTGAGAGCGGGGCCTTCCAGCATGCTCAGGGAGCACAGAGCCCAGGACAGCTCAGTTGCAACGCTTGCAACGGGGCACATTTCAAGGACAGTGGCTCCGGAGGAACTGAGACCTCTCTACCTTCGATTCAACAGGCCACTAACAAAGACTGATTCCATGGAGGGCCATAAGCAGGCCCATGTTTTAGAAAATTAATGTTGATGCCAAAGTTGCTAATGGAACAGGGATAATCAAAAGGGAATTTCCACCGGCTCCCACCACCGCAGCCACCCACCTGGCAGCTCCTGTCCACGTACACTGCCTTCCCCCACTACCATGGGTGAACCAGGGTTTTGCTTCTCTAAAATCGATCTCTCCCCTGGCATCACATCTCGCCCCATCTTCCTACGCAAGGACGGGTTCCAGAAATTCTCCCCCTCTGGCCTACATTAACAGACTCTCTTTCTACGGCATCACCATTAGCCTACACATATGCTGGCGTTTCTTCTATCTTGAGAACCCCCCTCTTGACCCCATTTCTCCTTCCAGCCACGGTCCCATTTCTCTCCTCTCTGCAGAGCTCCTTGAAAGAGTTGTCAGAGTTAATGTCACCAATTCCTTCTCTTGTCTTTTGCCTTCAATCCACTGTGACGGGGCTTTTTCTCCTTGCATGCAACCAAAACTTCTCTGATCAGGCTCTCGGACGCCTCTGTGTCACTACCAATCCTTATGTGACTTGACCTCTCCCTGCTCCTAGAAACACTTCCTTTGCTTGGCTCTCAGGAACTCCCACACCCCTAGATTTCTTCCTAGCTCACTGATTGCTCCTTCTCATCCTCAACTCATTCCCCTTTTACCCCAGCATCTTTATGTTGCTGTGTCGCAGGACTCGGACCTTGGCGCCCTCCTCCCCTCTGTGTACATCCATTCCTCGGTGAGCTCATACACCTGCCTGTTGACAACCATCAACCTTATATTTTTAGCCCAGATCTGTTCACTGAGTCCCCAGGCTCACTTATCCAACTGCTTTCTCAACATCTTCATTTAGCTGTCTCATAATTATCTCAAACTCAACACATGCAAAACAAAGCTCCTGAAACTCCTCCCCAAACCCTCTTCTCTAGAGTCCTCCCAACACAGCTCGTGCAATTTGGTCCTTCAAATCGCTCAGGCCAAATGCTTTGGAGTCATTGTTGGTGATACTTTATTTCTCTTTGTGCTCCAAATTTGTTAGCAAATTCCAATCTGTTAGCAAATTTCATGGGCTCCACATTCAACATACACCCAGGATCTGATGTAACTTCCCACTTGCATTACTACCGTCCTGGCCCAAGACACCTCCTCTCCATCACTACCCTCCAGGTCACTGCCTAGATGCCTAGAGGCGGAGAGCATCCTAAGGCTGTTACAACCCTTGCTCCCCACTCCCAGCCTATTCTTCATCCAAGAAAGAATGATCTTTTCAAGCTGAGTCAGGTCATAGTACTTATAACCGTCCAGCAGGTCCTCATTTATGTGAATAAAGGCTGACATCCTCACACTGGCCAACAAGACTCTAGCACAATGGCCTCCCTTACCTAGTATGTCATGACATCTGGCTCCCTTTGCATGAATGTTAGATCCACGTGGGCAGAGGATTTGGTTATCAACACTCGATCCACGTTTGCTGAATGAATGAATGAATGAATGTAGAAGCACCACAGGGAGAACAGGCTAGAGGATGGGCGACCAGTCACGAGGGATTGGAATCGTCTAGGTGAAAAGCCCGAGACCCTGAATTAAGAAAGTGTAATGGGAAAAGCAAGGTGGAATGTAGTCCAGAGCAATTTTTTTTTTTTGCCATAAATGATCAGGCGTGGTAACCAAAATCAGTGTTGAGGATGAAAAGTCAGGGAGGAGTCAAGGAGACTCGCCTGCTTCCAGCTTAAACAAGATTGGTAGTGTGCGAGGTGAGACCGAGGGGCAGCTGTGGAGTTTGGGCTTGAAAATGTTGAATTTAAGCAGGACGTGTTCACTCAGCAGTTAGAGTAATCATAACCAATCTCCTCTTCTTTTTGGAAGGTACTTAACTGAAAATATATATAGTTTGTATTACTGCAAGTCTCTCTTGGTTAAAATATCAATTCTGCCAGTTCAGGGATCATTATTAGTTAGAAAGCAGGCAATGCGAGTTAATGGATGACCCAGGTTTGCCTAGCAGATGGTAAGAAAGAGCTGATGTAAAAATCGCTTTTTCATATTATACAAATAATATATATTCATTGTCAAATGAGTACAGGAAGTTAACAAATTTAACTTTTTAACACGTTAAAAACGTGTTTCTCTTCAAGAGGTGGTAAACCATCCAAGCTGTTGAAAAGAAATTAGCGATACATTTTAAAATGTACATTAATTTGGCAAATGATCTATTTTATTTTAGTAATTTACAAATGTCTTACTCAAAGCAAAATCCTTCCAATGATTCTGATCCAAGAACCTCCCTTTTAGCAGCATTTTCCCCATGATGGCTGAGCAGCTGCCACCACCTCCCACCCTCCACCCTGGCGCCCGGAGCAGCATGGCTCATGGAGAGCTTGTCCAGGACTCTGGTCTCCCGGTAGCTCCAGGTGGAGGCTGTGGCCATGCCCATACAAGAACCCAGAGGCTCCTGAAAAGCCAACTTTACCCAGGGTAAAGAACTCCAAGTAAGCTTCAGATTCAGAGTAGGAAGGAAACAAGCAGTCTCTCTCCTGCCAGCATTTGTGCAAGTGAAGTAAAGGAGAGTGGAAATTTCTAGAGGAAAGAAATTCATTTACCTCTTATAGGAAAGGAAGCATCTGCTTGACCGACAGAGAAGTCAGTCTCTTTTTCTCTCTTTAAAGATTTATTTATTGATTTGAGAGAGAGAGAACAGAGGGGAGGGTCAGAGGGAGAGGGAGAGATAGTCCTCAGGAGAGCCAGACCCAGGGCTCCATCTCAAGATCCTGAGATAGGGACTTGAGCCGAAACCAAGAGTCAGACAATTAACTGACTGTGCTGAGCCCCGAAGTCAGCCCCTTATATAGGTCTTTCCATCTCCAGGGTGGCAGCTAGAGTGTGGTTGTGTCAAAGGATTTAGAATCTTAGTGGCTAAGAACCAATCTCAACCTCACTGAGCCTCAGTTTCCTCATCTGTAAAATGGGTGAATGACACTGACATTCAATTCAAGTTTGGCACCAGGTGCAATGAGGTGGCATGTTCAGTAAACTTGAAGTGCTTTAAACTTGCTATCTGAAGCCTCCTGATTCAAGTACAGTGTATTTTGATACTTTGTGGGGGGAAATAACAGCTTTAGGCAGGCTTTCCTAAAATAGCTCCCCCCTTCTTCCCACACCCGCATCCCAACCTACAGCCCCTTATTGCACTTTTCCTTCTTAGCAGGAATCACAACCTGGAAACAGACGTGTTCATTCCTTCTTCCCCTGAGGGACAGCCAGCCTCACGAGAGCAGGATTCTGCTGGTTCACCACTGTCTCTCTAAGTGCTCTGACAAAGGCCCGGCGCATAGGAGGGGCTTAATAAAGTCGTTAAACGTGAACAATGAAGGCAGAACCTGATTCTTCTGGGAGCAGGACAGCTGGTTCTCAAACTTGGGTTTACGGGTTTCAAATGCAGATTCCCTGTCCCATAGAGGGATTCTGACGGTGCAGGGCAGGTGGGGATTCCTGAATTTGCTATTTTAAACAAGTGCCGGATTGGAGGCCGGGGGGAGGTTGTGGTGTAGACACTGAGAAAGTTACTCTGAATCAGATAAACCTTGTTTTGACTCCAGCCTGCCAATTGTGGTATGACCTTAGGAGGATTACTTAACTTCTCTGAGCCTGTTTCCTTATCTCTTAAGTGAGAATGACAACACGCTCAGGGAGTTATGAGAATTAAATCGGGTAATGGATGTAAAGTTCTTGGCACAATGCCAGTGGTGCAGTTAGCTACTGCTATTACACTTCTTATTATTATTGTTATTATTATGATGATCCTATTGTTATGCCCTAGCAAGAGAATTTCTCCCTGAAGGATCACTCTTAGGAATGTTCCTTTTTTTTTTTTTTTTAAGATTTATTTCTTTGACAGAAAGAGGGAGAGAGCACAAGCAGGGGGAGCAGCAGACAGAGGGAGAGGGGAAAGCAGGCTCCCAGCTGAGCAGGGACCCTGATGCGAGGGTCAATCCTGGGACCCTGGGACCATGACCCGAGCTGAAGGCAGATGCTCAGCTGACTGAGCCACCCAGGTGCCCCAGGAATGTTCTTATCGTAGGATCCCAACCAGCAGCGCAGCATCACCTGGGAACTGGACAGAAATACAGAATCTGCCCCACCCGAGCCCTGCTGAAGCCCAATCCGCACTGTAACAACCTCTCTAGGTGCTTTGTTTCCACCTTCAGGTTTGAAAAAGCACCGCTCAGAAACACCTATGCTGTTGTTTTCTTCCCGTCTCTCATTCCAGAGTCGGCTCAGGTTTGTAAGCTCTGGCATCACGGAGTCTGAGTCCTTGACAGCTGCTTCTCATCCTTCTGAGTGCAGAGGTGGGACACCCCCCCCCCCCCGCCCCAGGCTCGCTCTGGGTACCCCTCCCGCTGAGGACATTCGGAGAAGGGACTTCCTCAGGGAGCCACGGCTCCGAGCAAGTGTCTGTTTAGCCTGGAGCTGGATCCAAACTCTGGCTTGCTTCCTCCTCTGTCCCAGGCTTGCTCCGGCCTGCCAAAGCCCTGTATGGAAGGTGAGAGAAGCCCAGCCCCCCGAGAGAAGGGCAGAGACTCCCCCTTTGCCTGGAGCCCCGGCCCCAGCTCCAGCTTCGCCGACCCTGACTGGTTTTGGGATGAGAACATCCAAGCAAAGAGGGCCAGGGTGGAGACCATCGTCCAAGGCATGTGCCTCTCTCCTCACACTCCGGCTCCGGCGCCCGGCAAGGCCCGAGCCAGGGACGGCGCCTGTTGCCCAGGGAAGGCCCGGGAGCGGAAGAGGAAGCAGAGCCTTCCCATGCAGCAAGGCCCCCTGAAGCCAGGCCCTGCCGGGGACCACGGCAGCCGGAAAGGGGGCCCTCGGGTAAGAGAACAGCTCCATCAGCTGAAGCAACAGCTAAGACATTTACAAAAGCACATCCTGAGGGCTGCTGAGCCCAGGGACACAGCCCAGGACCCAGGGGGCTCCGAGACGGACAAGGGCCCTCTGAGGGCACAGCAGAGGAATGGTTATGGACATAGGCCCCGGGCTCTGGACAGTGACCACTACCAGGGTTCCCGTGGGGATCACCCCAAGGAGGAAAAGCCCAGAGCCTCTGAGGCGGAACACCAGTCTGAGGAGCCCAGTTTCCTTCCCTGTGGAACACAGGCTTTGCTGGAGATTCTGAGGAAAGAACTGACCGGGGCAGTGTCCCAAGCTGTGGACTCAGTATTACAAAAGGTACTGTTGGATCCACCAGGCCACCTGACTCGGCTGGGCAGAAGCTTCCAGGGGCTTGTGCCAGAGGGGAGAAGTGAGCCCTCACCTCCTGAGAGAGGCGCCTGTAAAGACCTATTTCCTCTGGCCACGTTGCCCAGGAGGGCCCAGCCACAGACCGGGGTCCTGTCACAAAACTTCTCACTGGCCAAGTCTCTGGACCCTCCCAGGTACCCTGTCTCTCTGAGGATGATCCCCACACCCTATCAGGGTCCCCCAGCAAACTGTCCTTTGACTGCGCCTTCCCACATCCAGGAAAATCAGACTCTTGGCCAGCTGCTGGGTCACAGACCCAGTGGTCACTGGAGCAGCAGTCTTCCCCACAACTCAACTCCCCAAAGTCATTGCTCCTCAGAGTCCGGCCTGCGACCGTGGGGAGCGGTCAAACTGCGGCCATCGGTTCTGAGCCAGCAGCAGTACGCCTTGCCCTTCGCTTCCCCCCGTCTGGAAAGACTGCCCGTTCTTCCCTCGGTGAAGATGGAACAGGGCGGCCTGCAGGCTGTCCCCGATGTGCTGCCTTTTCCTTCAGTCCACATATCCTTTACTAGAGAAACAGGAAGCCTGGAAGGTGAGGGGAGGTGGGGACAAATAACTCCATGGCATTAAATAGCTTGCTTTCCTGATGGCCTCCTTAATGCTTGCTTCCAGGCCCTCCTTCCCTGTGGCTCAGTTACCAGGTTCTGACAAGAGGGTGGCGATCTTTTGGCATTTAAGGATGCTGGGAAAGTTCATCTACCTTCTTGTGTGATATACTGGATTCTACCATTATTGACTCTTTCCTTTGAGTCTGAAAGAGTTTCATTTGTTTGTAAACTCAGAAGGGCTTCCAAAATAGGATAAATACCCAACGGAAGGAAAAAACACCATAATTTGGTTGTCAGCAGCCTGTACGCCTAGGCAGAGGGTCGAAGGAATGACCTTGTCTGACGCCCGGCTTCCCAATCTCTTGGCTCCGCAGGCAAAAAAGCCTGCATTGTCCAGATAATTCATGGGAAAGACAGGAGGGACCCGAAACTTCTGAGGCAGATGGAATAGGGGACAGTTTCCTGAGGGACTAGACCCAAGAGGCAGCTGGGAGGGGTAAGAAGCCTTTAGTTTAAGGAACAGCTTCTAACCGGCAAGTGAGAGGACTAGAACTTGGGGGCTGGGCATCTGGTGGGATGGCGGGGGCATGGGGAAGGCTGAGGGGCCCCGGCAGGTCTGTAGGGACCTGGATCTTACTGCAATCCTCAAAGAGTGCTGCCCAGAGTAACCCTCCCTCAGGATAGTAATGGTTGTTAAGTTAGGGAAAAAGCAGCTTGGATAAATACTAGATTATTGCTACTGGTTATTTAAACACTGGTTGTTAAATACTGGTTATTTCTATTACTGGGTAGTTTGACTGCGGGACTTCTCAGAGCCTTTAGCATGCTGATGTCCTATGTGAAGCTCTAAGAGGAGAAGGTCTGCAGCCTCAAACGCACGTGAGGCAAGATCGTCTTCCAGCAGGCGTCCTTGCAGGGCTAAAGCTCCTGACAACGTTAGGATGTTGCTTTTTTAGCGAGCGCAGCTCACACCGCTCCTTCTCACGGGCGGCCTATAATTGAGTCTCCAGAGGTCAGTGCGTCCGTGGAGCTGCATACCCAGGTGTGAGCAGCCTGGGAAGCTGTATGAAGGGCGACAGGACGGGGTGGGGACCCGCTCAGGGCCACACGGCGGCGGGCTCTTGTGTTCTAAATACCTCGAGCGCCCTCTTCTGGTCGCAGGTGTTGGAAACACGCCTAAAGCTTGGACACCACCTCGCCCTGCACAGGCAGGCAGGCATCCAGCAGCTCTAAAACCAACGCAGGAACACCTCGCCGGCCACTACTGCCTCTCAGGCAGCAGGAAAGCTTCTTGGAGGCGTAGAGAGAGACCGTCAGGAAATCGCCCTGTGTGGCAAGGCCCACCTGTCTGGGCCTTTGGTAAGAGGCCACTTGGTTAAAATTAGGGCCATGGTGGAAGAACCTAAGGGACCCAACCCCAGAGGTTCTTCCCTTGGTAGGGCAGATGCTGATCCTTCTCGGGCGCCTACTGTGTGCCTAGCCTTGCCCGGTAAAATGAAGACTGGGCTCCGCTTTGGGAGGTTTGGGGGCCCACCCGCGGGTCCTGGCTGCATGGAATGGTTTGGGGCCCCCAGGCGGCATTCTGGTTCCCCAGCTGGTCGCTCATTCCGGTTGCCGATACTCCAGCATCAGCGATGTGTTCTTCTGGGCGGCTACAGCCGCTAAGAGCAAGCTACTTTGAAGCGTAAAAGAACGTTCGCGGTCGCGCCCCGCCCGACGCAACAGGCGAAGCAGGCGCGGTGACCAGACGGCAGGGGGCAGCACCTCCGCGCGGCGCTCCTTCCCGGTGGCCGGCAGGGAAGCGGCAGTTCGCAGGGACCCGTCCACCACCTCTTAGCCGCAATTCTGAGACTCGAGAGCCCTGAAAATCCCGGTGATGCCCCCTAAGGCTGATGGAGACGATTTTGGCGGCAAAGCCTGGCCTGCCCTGTTCGGAGGCTGTCGATCGACTATGCCACTTTGCTGTGGAAATCTGTATTGGGTTTCGCACCGCTGCCGCGGACCCCGCCCTGGCCCTTCTCTGACCTATGGCAGATGCACCGTGTGGCCCTTACTGGGGAACAGATTCTGAAATCTGAAGCCCATTTGGCCCAGCGTTTCGGAGAGGGGGCTGTGGGCTGGTGTGACCCCACCGTCTTCAAGCCTCCACTCGAGATCGAGAGGCAGGGACGGAGAAGCAAACTAATCTGCAGAAAGTCCCAAGACGGACACCTGCGGAGCCAGGAGTCACACCCCGGATCTGACTGCCGGACACACGCTTTTACTACTACGCTTACATTTTAGAAATGAGGCCCAGAGAAGGTAAGGGGCTTGCCCCTAATAGGTGTCTGAAACTGGGTCTTTGGACTCCTAAATCCAGCCTTCTTTCCACAGCATTTGTGAACCTTTAGGAAGGATAAGAAGTGGGTCCAACGAGGCCCAGGCAGGGGTCCTCTGGGCAGCCGCCTGGGAGCCATGGCCAGCTGTGGCTGTAATTCATTGGTCTCCTTTGGCTAAACTGATAAATCTCTACTGAGAAGTCTTCATTGTCCTAAAGGTACAGCTCTCTGACCTGAGCTCCAGCGTGACTCTGTGTAATGCTTCTCACCCAGCCCCATGCCTGTCCCCGGGAATGCTATGAGTTCTTATGTAAGAATCTTTATTTCCCTCCCACGCTGGCATTAGGCCGTCACAGCACAGCTCCCTGCTTTTGTTAGAGGAGAAGAGATCTGTTCTCAGAGTGAGGTATGGGTTGGAGTATAACGGGTTCAGGTTCACCATCTAATCACTCATTCATTCTTTCAGCCAACAATCATTTATTGAGCACCTACTATGTTCCTAGCACCGGGCTAGCCACGTGGGATACAAAGAGGAAAGGATAAGGTCCTTGCCCTCAAGGAGCTCACAGTCTAAATGGGGAGACACACATGCAGTAAAATTTCCAGTCAGGCTATTGCTACAACAGAGGTTTGTACAAAGAGCCTTGGTAGCCCAGGGTAAGGAAGGCCTAATTCAGCAGGGAAATATTTCACAGAGGAGGGGTGTCCGAGCTGAGCTGGGCGGGGTGAGGGAGAGCTCTGCCAGGCACACGGGGAACAGGCGCAGCCGAGAAGTTCAAGCTTCCGGAGCCGAAGCAAACTGGGATCTTGCCCTTAGGCTGGTTTGGTGCTTGTTGGTTTAAATGCTGCCAAGGGAGCTATGAGAGCAGAACGGGGGCCGTCTAGTTAGCTCGCCTCCTTTTACAGATGGGGAAACTGAGGCAGAGAAGGGGAAAGAAACCTCTACATGGGGTTTTGAAATCTGGGACAGACCTGCCATCTCTTCCCATTCTATTTTTTTTTAAAGATTTTATTCATTTATTTGACAAACAGAGATCACAAGTAGGCAGAGAGGCAGGCAGAGAGAGAGAGGAGGAAGCAGGCGCCCTGCTCAGCAGAGAACCTGATATGGAGCTCAATCCCAGGACCCTGGGATCATGGCCTGAGCCGAAGGCAGAGGCTTTAACCCACTGAGCCACCCAGGTGCCCCCTTCCCATTTATTCTGAAAGTAGACACGCACAAAGTATGACAAGCTGTATTTGATGTCATATATGCCATAGAATTTTACACATAAATTTTTTTTTAATTCTGAAAATTTACAGTATACATATGCTATTCAGCATCTGGAAAAAGATTTTTTTTTTCCCCCAGTAAGCTCTAGGCCCAACCTGGGTCTTGAACTCAAGACCCCAAGATTGAGAGTCCCATGTTCTACTGACTGAGCCAGCCAGGCACCCTAAGAAAAAGCTTATCTGATCAGACTTGCTAGAGACAGAAAAATGGAACTAATACACCATTCAGCTAGAAAAAATAAAATAGAAACCATAAGGAACAGGACAATTCATTATTTGGATAAAGTGATACAATTATTTGATAAACTGATGTTATTTTCCTTGACGCTGAGATAAATCCAGGAGGGCCTAAATCCTGGTCACTTGAAGAAGGCCAAACTGATGTTTTTCTTCACACGCTACCCCAGCTCCAACCTCTTGAAGGCTTACTTCCCCGATGTCCAGGTAAAGTCATTCCTCACCTCTGAAAGCCTCGCAAAACTCCCAAGAGGCAGTGGGTTTTGGCCAGTGGGAGGCAAGTCCTAGGTCATCATACGTGCCCCTTAGGTCCCCTTCATGTTGCTGCTGGAATCACTACAATTTCCAGTGCTGGGGCTGAGAATCTGCATGAATAACCTTGGACCACAAAGGTTGGGTATCTGAATTTTAAGATTTTGAGTTGTAGATATACCCAGAAACACATGGGGAGGGAAGGTAATGGCATCTTTGGCCTCGTGTTTTGTCTCTGCTGGGCAGACCATGAGAAAGAAAGAATATATAGAGTCAGGCTGCACTGTCATGTTTATATCCAAAGTGCTGGATTTCAAAACTGAAGGTGCACAGAGATCAAGCATGACAATAAGGAAGAGAAAGCTCTGATGGTTTGAACCAGACCTTGCCTGTTCCCATCAAGTTTCTGAGGGCCGCCTCCACCGTGGGTGTTGGGATAGGGTGGGTAATGCTTTGTATCTACATCTTTGTGTTTTCCAGCTCTTTCCCTCATATTCAGTTGCTCAGCTGGCCCCTGCACCACACTCTGATTTCAATTCATTCTGCAACTCCAGGGTGGCAATGAACGGCTCTCTGCTCTATACCCTTATCCCTTCCTTTCACCCTTGACCTGGCAGAAGGCTCTGGGGCTGCCATGTAATCTGCCCAGGTGCAGCGGAAGCATCTGGCCTTGACCCCAGACTCTCCCAAAGTTACCCTAGATACCATGGAAAGCTTTTCATGGGTTAAAAAAAAAAGGACATAAATCCAGTATATCAAAAACAGTATTTTCTAAGAGACATTATAGCTAATTGAGATTTTTCTGTATACAAGTGAATAGACTAAGAAAACACTGTGGCTTCTTTAAAAAAAAAAAAAAAAGCCCTTTTGCACAGACCTGTAGCCCTGGGGCTAATAACACATCATATGTTAATAAAAAATAACAATTTTTAAAAAAAGAAAGCCCTTTTGGGGGTGCCTGGGTAGCTCAATCAGTTAAGCATTCGACTCTTGATTTCAGCTCAGGTCATGAACTCAGGGTTGTGAGACTGAACCCGGGGTTGGGCTCTGCACTAGGCATGGAGCCTGCCTAAGATTCTCTCTCTCTCTCTGTCCCGCGCCCCCCTAAAAAAAGAAAGCCCTTTTGAATGGTGGTTGAAGCCATCCTCACTAAAACCTGTGTTGAACCGGAAGTTGACAGTTCTGACTCTGAGCACCTTACAGCAAACATGATGTTTTTGGCAAAAGACCTGATGGACCCTGTTGTTTGTACAGTTCAACCGCTGCATAACCTCCCAGATGATCAAGTGGTTCAGCAACTTTCGGGAGTTTTATTACATCCAGATGGAGAAATTTGCCCGGCAAGCGACTACAGATGGTGTCACAAATCCCAAGATGCTGGTGGTACTCCGTGACTCAGAGCTTTTTCGAGCTCTCAATATGCACTATAACAAGGGAAACGATTTTGAGGTAAGACCATGTACTTGGATCCCATGAGGTCCGATGAGTGCCTTCCCTTCGTGATTGAGTTTTAGAAAAGATCCCCTTCTGTGTCTGTCCTTAAGTCGCTGAGAGCTGGGGCGGCCTGGGGCCAATGTTTGTATCACCCACAAAGACGAGACTCAACATCTTCTCTGAGGCAGTGGGTGGCTATCAGAAGATGAATATACAGGCGGTCTTCATTCTGAAACTAAAACAGAAGTTGACCAGATGTTGTGCCGTTTTAGATCTAACACTCTGCAATGAAAATGCCACAGCTTGTTGACCTTTTCCCCTTAACGCCAGGAGGCCCACAACTAAATGCCCGGCTGTGGTAGCGCCTAGACTTGGCCCCCGTTTTCTTTACAATTTCTGTTCGTTTCATCATTTGGTTCTTTATTCTCCCTTGGACAGTTTTATTTGTGGGCCTTTCATGGCAAGTCACCTCAGATCCTTTCTTTCTGGAAATACTGAAGAAATAAACAGTAGTCAAGCCTCTCGGTCCTCTGGGGATCTCTGTGAAGGCACACTGTTGGCACCTTAGAGGTAAAGCATCAGTCGAGGGTGAGCAGGTGGCCTAGATGTCATGGGTGAGAACCCCTAATGCAGACACGCATGTCCTGTGGGCAGCTGACAGCTTGGCTGGGTTGGCCGCCCATTCTGGAGGTCACTGACTACACTTCCCTCTCCCTGCCTTTCTCACTTGATTCGGATACCTCAGAGAAAGGGAAGGACTGTCGGCAGCTACCAAATGTCTGTCAGGATGTGTTTGGAAACCTAAGCCTCCTTTCTGAGGCTCGTGGGGGAAAGGGCGTGTGGGTGGGGCACGCAGTGTGCATTTGGCACGCAGTGGTGGCGAGCCTGGGCCAGGCTGAATTTGGAGGACTGTGGGACTCCCCATCATTTATGGTGCCAGTCTGCACGAGGTCCTGGAACACATTCTTGAGCTCCCCCTTCAGCCTCGTGCTTGGCTTTGGAAGCAGGAATGATTCCAAGTCTTTTGGATCCAGTCCCAAAAGATGGTAGGATGAGGTACAACAGCTGTAAACTTGGGGGGGGGGATGCCTTTCCTCATTAGGCACTAAGGGAAAGCATATTAAAGACCTTTGAACCACACATTTAATTTCAATTGGAGTCAAGAGTTTCCCACTTAGTAAAATCACCACCATTAGTAGAATCAGCTCCTCCTACAAAGGGAGTGTCCCTAATAGGCTTTTCCCTAGGGGTGTCCCATGGGTACCATCATTTTAAGGTTTGTAGTTGATGAGAGAAAGCAGGGGATTCTTAGGGCTGCAGAAATCGAGAGCCAGGAGAGCAGAGATGCTCTTATCAGCCCACTACCCAAGGAGCAGGCAGCATCGAGGTCTGCGTGGCACTGGGTCTCCTCGGCCTCATGTCTTTTCTTTCTTGTGGGTCTCTCTGGGAATGCAGGTCCCAGATTGCTTCTTGGAAGTTGCCAGCCTGACGTTACAGGAGTTCTTCAGGGCTGTCTCCGCGGGGAAAGACTCAGATCCTTCCTGGAAGAAACCCATTTATAAAATTATTTCGAAACTGGACAGTGACATCCCAGAGATATTCAAATCTTCCAGCTATCCCCAGGAGCTGTTTCGGAATTAAGATCCCACAAAGTGAGGAGCAACTGGCCAAGGTTTCCTAGATTTGTCTTAAATGGCAGCCAGTATAGTTGTAGTCATAGGAAAAAAAAGGGGGGAGCATAAGGAGAACCCCCCACAGGTAGCAATGACCATTTCTGATCATTTATTTCCTTTTTCAGAATCCTCAGAGTCTTAAACCTAACCATAAAAATATATCAACCAAACGTAATGGTGTGCTGGTAGCATATTATAAAAGGGACACAACAGTTTGCAGTTGGAACTGAAATCTCCACTTCATTGTTTCCCGGTGTTGGGGCCTTGGGAACTTGCCAGCATTCTGCATCTGCAAAGCCAGGTCGTGAGGACGAAAAGATATTCTGACCTCAAGGACTCTGTGAACTATTACTCACTACACAGCTGTTAGTTTTCTCCCCCTTGGCTTTCAGATGAAGTTATCTCATGTGTGTGTGTGTGTGTGTGTGTGTGTGTGTGTTTTGTCTTCACACATTCCCAGTTCTAGTTACCTATTTATTGAGCTCCGCCTGTTGGCTAGACATGTGCAAAGACATTATCTTTAAGCTTTCCAGTTGGAAAAGGAGATGTTATCTTCATCTGAAAGATAACTGAACCCAAGTTGGGAGAGCTATGAGGCAGCTTGCGGAAGTATAAGGCTCGGGCGCTTGGGTCGGCGGGGATGGCAGGAGTCTGGAGGAACCCGAGCCCTTCTGATGCCGGACTATATGCAGGACCACCTCATGCTGCTTTTTGTGATCTCAAACAGGCCACTGTCCCCAGGAAGCATCCAGCACTAATGGGGCACTGTCATCTGACACCCTCTGCCTAGTACTCAGGAATGCCTCATCAACCAGGATTTCCGCTGATTGTGCCAGCATGCAGAAAGCAAACTTTCTGCTGGACTTGAGCTTTGCTGTTCATTCATTCATTGGCTGCGAGTTTATCAGCGGGACAACCCAAGTAAGTGCTAGAAGACCAAAGCAGTTGATGCCCCAACCTCTTACATGCAGAAGAAACTGAACGTCAGACCTGGGAGCTGGAAGGGGCCTTAGGAGATCATCTGGCCCGCCCTGCCTTAGTTAGGAAGGAGGGAACTGAGGTCCAGACGGGACCCTTGCACAGCCTGTGCAGAGTCCCACAGACGACGAAAGGCATAACTGGGAGGAACAGAGCATGACACATAGAAACAGAAATTCTCCCACTCCATATGGAAACTATGGTCGATCTTTCGGATGAAAGAATTCATGAAATCAACATTTCCCCCCCTACTGGCCCAACACAAACTGTGACTGATTCCGAGCGTCTAGGCAAGACCTGTGCAAAGCTGAGTCACCGCACCTGTCTTCACCACTAGTGAGGGTCAAGTCTTGTAAGCACTGCAAAGGTGTGCAGAGCTCAGGGCCTGCCCTTCTAAGGAATGTCTGTGACTTCATTAGCTTACTTCTTCCCCATCCACACAAAACAACTTTCTCTATTCAACTTCCCTGACTTTTTTGGGGGGGTGGCTGGATCAGAGCCAATAAAATCCCTAAACTATTGCTAGATGTATCAATATAAAAAGGTATGAAAATTGACTTTCTTTTGAATTTTCTCTTACTTCAAACAGCTTGGAGGGAAACTAAAACAGGTGGATTCAGCCCAAACCAATCTTTCCAGGTTGCTTTAAGGTTATTTGTAAATATCCTTTGATATATCCGGTTGCACTCAGATTACCTTTGCCATATTTTCTCCCATAATATTCCTTTCAAAAATGAAGCATTCTCCGAATCTAAGTTTTAAAAGCAGGCAAGCACTGAGTACCCCAAGCAAGGGCAGTTACCAACGGTTGGAGATGGCAGAAGGACCCACTACCCAGACTGGAATTACATAGTTCCTAAAGATATTCATGGGAAACAATTCCAAGTTCACATGATTGTCTGATATGGGGCAGCCATTTCTGGGACATTTCTGTCCCAAACCTAAAATTCGTTAGGGTGTTTGAAAGATTAAGCCAAGCCACTCCAGGGCAGTGAAACTGGTCCCAGGGACCAATTAGATGAAACGTACAAGCTCAAATTGAAAACATTTGTGTCCTATAGTCCTTCCAGGAAGCGTTCTCTACCCACTGACCTAAACACAGAAGAATGTATAAATACACATGCTCTGCCAACAGAAGAATTCTAATTTTTTATATTTTTGTTTCTACCAAGTATATCTCTTTCTCTGTTGGGAACACATTCTGAGCTGGTTATTAAGTTCTTTTAGCTGTCCTAACATTGCCGAAGATCTGGCCATTCTTTCCATTAAGGTATATGTGGGCACTATTGTCTCCCAAATCAGACATTTTCAAAGTCTGGTCAAACACTGCATAATTGTCTAATCCTTTAATAGTAGACAGTAGGACCTGGACTGGGGTTTATGACGATGGCACTATGAGGGAGTTAATGCTCAGTTAGTAACTAAAAGCAGGGAGTTAGTTGGCATTGCACGCAGGAAAATGTTCACTAGGAATCTTATTTCAAACATGGCTTCATACAGTATACACAGCTCCAAACCAGATTTGCACAGTGAGGAGGACAAAGGCACTTCCTGGGCATATGGACGGAGCCTGCCTGAAGTCTTTCCTTTCTTTCCAAGGAAGGGCAAGGCACTCAGGGCAGAAGGAACAAAGCCCTCTTTAATAGGGTTTTGTACCTCAGCCCTAGCCCTTTATGGAAGCCTGCGGGTCCACTCTAAAAAAACCTTTTGTTTTTAGTGACAAAATACAGAATCATCAGAAAAAATAATTTAAAACGAGACTTCTATAGCATAACTTTATATGTATCTTTAGAAAATATTTCTTTTAAAAATCCTTGTAAAATTATGGTAATGAGTTTCTTGAAGTCCTATATATTCCAGATTTTCATAATCTTTGATTCTAGCTCTTTTCTTTATAGTTTGGACTCTTTGCACTGTAAAATAGATACAAAGTTTCATGATACCTGCATTCAAAACAAAATGGAAATTTAAAAAACCCTTTGATGTTTTTTATACACACTCTATGAGGCATTGGCACATAATGCAAGATCATTTTCTCAGGACTGAGAGAATAAAAAACAATAATGAAAGTGTGATGGGTAGGGCAGAGATAAAGAACAGGTTGGCTAAAATAAGTTACAGTTCTATCAGGCTGATGTTTAAATTATGCACATTTAAATTAGAGGAGTGCTCTACAATTCTTAACAATTGCTTCTGGGCTTGATGCTTTGGGGGAGAACATAAGCTTGTGAAAATATAGCAAATATAATACTCATGAAAGTATAAACATATTCTTGGCCAGATTTAAGTATATATGACACACACTGTAACGAATGAGCTCTGGTTACCTATTTCAGAGTATTAATACATATTGTATCTCAGAGGTCGATCATGGTACTTACAATTGAAAATTATGTATTAAATGCTCACCTGTGGAAAAAGATAACTCATGAGTATTTTTCAGGGGTACACAATTCCTATAGACCAAGAAGGAACTCTTCCAGACTATAGAAATCTAAGTATGCAGGAGTTGAATGCTCAGTCATATAAAACAACAAGACAACAACAACCCCCAAGCCCCACATGTTAGCCTCCAGAAGAAGGGACTGTCTGAGGAAACGTTGAGGGCAGGTAGACATAATGAAAACAGTAAGAGAACATCTACCCCAAGTCTCACCAGCTCACACATCTACCCGCTCTCCGAGGAATCTGCCTTCTCCTTCACCAAGAGTCTTCCGCGCTGTTTGGTTTCTCACAATTGTATCCTTTCATGCTCACAGTCTTGTTTTGTTATTTCCAAATTCTCCAGTCACCCCTCACACACACACATCGGGTCCTAGTCTTCCCTTTGAACCCCCTTCCCCTCCATTTACTGACTTCTGTGGCTCAGACTCTTATTCCTTGATAACCACTTCTGGCCTGGAAATTGAGCTTTGGTAAAGAACGTTGTCTCTAACCTAACCTTTTCCCCACCTTCTCCTCAGGGATCTGATCTGTCACCCCCAACCCCTTCACTTTCCTCTCCATCAATACCTTTCTTGAGAAGAGTTCTGCCATTCAGTGCATGAGTCCTGGAGCCTGGTTTCATCCGGGCTCCAGCACCTACCAGCTGTGGATCTCTGCAAGTTACTCAGCTTTCCCCCCAGTAAAAGAGATATAATAAAATAGCTCCTACCTCACAGTGATGGTCAAAGGTTTAGGTAAAATATGCGTGAATTTCTCAGCCCATTCCCAGTGCACAGCATGTTGTTAGATATATTATTCCTTAGCAGCCCTGAACTGTTAGAGTCAGGAATTTGCACAGCTTTACAGTGGGAAAAGAATTCTTAGCTTAAGAACGACACTGATGTGTTGTTATGGATATAAGAAGTATTCTGAATTTTGTTTTTAAAATGCAATAAAATGCACAAATACCTGTGGTGACAGCATAAAACTGAGCTTTAAACTGAGATGTTAACAATTTCTGAGAGGGAAAGAAAATCCAGCTAAGAAGCTATAAAGTCCATATGCTTTCCCTCATCTCTTTACAACAGTCCTGTGTTGATGTGTCTACTTGGCACATGACGTAACTACTGTCGCTATTTGCTGGTTGGTTACTAAAGGCTTGTCTTTTACAAGCTGATACATTGTAGTCAGACACCCTCTTAACCATAAGCTTAGTGACTAACGAGGTATTTATAAAATTATTCAATTTGCGGGGCGCCTGGGTGGCTCAGTGGGTTGGGCCGCTGCCTTCGGCTCGGGTCATGATCTCAGGGTCCTGGGATCGAGTCCCGCATCGGGCTCTCTGCTCGGCGGGGGGCCTGCTTCCCTCTCTCTCTCTCTCTGCCTGCCTCTCTGTCTACTTGTGATCTCTCTCTGTCAAATAAATAAATAAAATCTTAAAAAAAAATTATTCAATTTGCCATCTTTAACAACTGTCCATTGAATAGGCTATATGGCTTGAATATTTTCTTGATTAACTCCTGGATGGTTGTTCAAAACATCTTTGTAGTTGTTCCACTCCTTAAA